AATACCAGGGATAAATCTAGTGAACCTTTTCTGGAATGCCTCCAATGCGACTAGATCTTTGCTTAAGTAAGGGAATCCAAACTTCAGTGTTCCAGTTGTGGCTAGCATAAGGCACTGTCTAGAACTTTGTATAGTTTTATCAAGACTCCCTATTTTTGTACTTTTTGCTTTGAAATGAAGGCCAAAATTCTGTTTGACTTCAAGATTATCTGTTGAACCCAAATGTGATCTGAACATAAATGCTGAACCTTTTTGTGATCTATATGAGGACTTCCACATCCCTCAGTGGTTCTATTGCTGCTGAAGTGCATGACCTCTCATTTTCTCACAATGTATTCCATCTGCTAAGCTTTTGCTTACTTGTTTAACTTGCCAAATCTCTCTGCAGACTCTGTCTCATCCTCGCCACTTGCCTTCCAACCCATTTTTATGTCATCTGTAAACTTGGATACAGTACATTCACTTTCCTCATTCAAGTCACTAATATATATTGTAAATAATTTATTTTTGTTGTACTCAACTAGTTAAAGTTATCATTCTGAAAATGACCTCTCCATTACAAGGCTGTCTTCTATTAGTTAACTAATTCTCTATCTTTACTAATACACTACCCCATCACCATGAAATGTTATTTTATTTAGTAATATGTGGACGTTTATCCCAATCCTTAAAATGTATTGCATCCGCTTCCCTTTATCCAGATTGTTTCTACCTCAAAGAATTCTAATAAATTTGTTAGGCATGATTTTTCCCTTCATGAAATCATGCAGTCAGCACAGCTAGTGCTTGATTATGTTATGTATGTCTAAATGTTCTGCACTTATCCTTTATAATAGATTTTAACATTTTCCTTATGACAGAATGTTAAGCCAACTACCCTGTAGTTACCTGTTGTCTGTCTCCTTCCTTTTTTTTCATATGTTACATTGGCAGTTTTCCAATCCTTTGGCACTTTTCCGGAATCTAAGGATTCTTGGAAGATTGTCACCAACACATACACTATCTTGGTAGCTATGTCTTGCAATGTCCGAGGATGCATCCCATCAGGTCCAGGTCTTTAGCCCCATTAGTTTTCCTAGTACTTTTCCCAGTAATATTTATTATATTTTTCCACTCTGTATTTTGTTCATTGGCAGCAAAGTGTGACGTAAAATATTTATTCAGCTCCGCTGCAGTTTTGTTTTCTTGGTTCCCCATTATTATATCTCTAGTCTCATTATTGAAGGGCCTTTATGTTTGCTGTCTTTGGCCTTTCACCATTTTATTAGCCTCAACCATTTTTGCGAAATGTCTTTCTTAAACTACACCAATAAGCTCTGCCCCGTTCCTTTGTAGTTATCCCATTTTTTAAAAAAAGAAAAAGCATAGCTCAGTTGTTTCTGACCTAGGCTTCTCCCTCAAACTGAATGCTACATTCTATCATGTTGTGGGCATTATCCCCAAGGGAATCTTGAACTCGGATCATTGATTAAGCCTATCTTGTTATACGTTACTGATCCAAAATAGCCAGCACCCAATACCACTTGTCAAATATATCATTGTGTTTTAGGTAGAGTGCATTAACTTCCTTGACCTGTACTGCTGAAAGAATTAAAACAATATTGTGCTTTTCCCCACCATGATATCTCAGCTCAAGATTAGGTGGGCTCCTGCAGTATTTTAGGAGAATTAACTCATGCTTCTATATGAACAATTTCCAAAAAAAAAAAAAAAAAAAATCCAAATCATGTTACTCAGAAGACGTTAGCCTATGCTAAGTCCTTGTACCTTAATTCTGCATTTTTAGCATTGATGTTAACCACAAATCATTTATTTACTATTGAAGCATAACATTTTTTCTTCTTGGTTTATCTCCAGGCTGTCCTTGCGTTAGCTGCCTCGTGGACATCTCGACAAGTTGGAGAGCGAACGTTGACTGGAACTGTAATAGACAGTGGAGATGGTGTCACTCACGTCATTCCAGTGGTATGTATTGCTCAAACTGTTGCTTAAAAATATACGAAGTGAAACAGGTTGTCGGAACTTCAGCTCTGCATTTGAACAGTGAGGTAATTTTTGCACCATACCCTTCAACCAAAATTTGTCATCACCCAGTTGCTGAAAGCTGTACGAACTATGGAGATTCCAATACAATACCTGATCGGTATGGCTTAGCTGAACTAATTTTAACAACTCCTTTTGGACAGTCACTCTGGATTGAGGATGGCTTGCATCTATCTTTGTTTGATAGGTTGTTAAATGGCTGAGTCTGACTTGTGATCTGCACATTCACCATATGTAGGACAAGAAGTGCTTGAGTGGTTAGGTAGTTGGTCTATTTGGAAATTTGTGCATTTCTTCCAGTACATGGACTTTGCTTTTGGTGTTCCTGATGAAGTCTCCTTGCACTCCCGTGTGGCATTTCAAGATTTGAAAAGGGTGTTTCACCTCTTCAGGGATGCTTTCAAGACATCCTTAAGTCGTTTCTGCTGTCCTACTGGGGGGTTTCCTGTTGCAATTTAGTTTTGAGTGGAGCATTTGCTTCATAACTCCAGTGTTATTTGTACAAGTGACATGGTCCACACAGTGGAGTTGGTGAGTGATGCTGGGCAAGTTGGCATTTTGTGGTCTTGGCCCATTTTTCTTGCCTCTGTTCAATTAGGACGCTAGTGTTAGTACCAAAGTTTGTTGCAGTAGTTCAAAATTGACGCAGAAGGAAATCCATAGATCCACTTTCATTCATGTATTCATTCACAGGATGTGGACATCACTAACTAGGTTTTAGTCTTTTC